AAAAAGTTCTTAAACAGTAAAAATTCAAAAGTTCCAAATTCAAACTTTTTTCATAAACTCCTTTTTTACTTACTTTTCATTCCCTTTTTCACTTTCCTAAAAGCTAAAGCTCTATTTTCTCTCCAATAAAAATTTAAACTTATCACTCATAACAGTACTCAAAAAGTTAAAGCTCTCACAAGTCACACCAAACAGGCCCTAAGACTTTGGAGAACAATAAGATTAAAATGGAAAAATATTTATCTACTTTATTAATTGAAAAAATAATAATTAATTTAAAATAAAATTTTAATTAAATTTTTTTTAAAGATTAAGGGGGTATGTGTTTTTCAATATCCCAAGTAAATAACTTTTTAAACTAACAAAAATTTAACTAATTTAATACTTACTAAATTAAAAATTTTAATTTTAGATCAAAATTAAATACTAAAATTTTTGTATTACTAAATAGTTAACACATCGATTCATCAAAAAACCCGAATAAGATTTTAGGTTAATTAAAAAAATATAACTTTTCAAAATAAATTTAGATTAACCAAAATATTTTGGTTTCGTTTGATTATTTTTGGTGCACAAATTAACTAAATTCAATTTTTAATTTTTTTAATTTTTAATTTTAGTAAATTAATTCTTTCTCGGCCTATTTTTTGAAAGTCGCCATAAATTTCCTCCGATATTGCTAATGAAACGGCCCTTAATTATAAAACTAGCATCTTCTTCATATATTTTATTTACAAAAATAGTTTTTTCTATCTAGATTTCATTTTATGTGACAAATCAAGTGAAACTCTCATGCCGGAGACGGCTGAGGAGGAGGAATAAAGCTTCGAATCTCTGTACGGGTAATGAGATACTTTTTTTAATAGTTTAATTAATTATTTTAGTGACCTTTTTCATTTTTTGAGTCTAAATTATATACCGTATAAATTATAAAAGTATTTCAATCTATTTAATTATTCTGACTCATTAAAAATTTTGGTACTTTTATTTTCAGATTAAAAAAATCCAATCTCACTTATGAAAAACATAAAAATTCAGATATTTTGACATTAAAATATTAACTTTTGAGGAGAAAAAGTTATCAATT